ATATATATATATATATATATATATATATATATATATATATATATATATATATATATATGAATGTATGTATATACACCTAAAACTCGCATACTGATGATGAATCTATGTAAAATGAAGTCCTTAAATTTATCATCTTTGTCCATTTATTTCACGTGGTATGTAAATTTGTTGCTAATCTTATACACATACTTTTTATTTTCTTTTTACCTTATTTTATCTTTGGTGCAATTGCATATAAAACCTAGTGAAAAACGAACTTTGTCATGTTTCAAAATGTTGAACCATACATCAAACGGGTTGGGTTCCGGTCTCAACAACCCCTTTTCATGAGAATATGAGAAAACGTGAAGGTATCATTACATTATATGAAGGTTTATCGTGAAAACTGTGAAGATACCCGTATATTGCGTGAACCATAGTTGCTAAAAGCGCATTTGAGGCGCGCCTAGGCTCTAAGGTTCAAACCCCAGTACCAAATAAGTTTTCTCATCTTATCTTCTAGGCGTCTTTAAAAGAAGAGTTATTAAATAGATGACATAAGTCAAACACTAATATTAAACATTCGGTTCTTATAACTTCAAGTCTCTTTGTCTATAAATACCCAGACCTTAAAACTTCTCCATCATGGCTCACGCTTTAAACCCTTCTTCCTTCTGCCTCTATCGAAATACCGTTTGTTGCTGGACAGAAGGCTTGTACTTGCTACATATTTGTCTGTGTGTAACTATGTGTGTGTGTGTGTATATATATATATAAGATTCGGTTCACATTCCTGTAGCCCTTGCCTCGCCCCTAGGCCCCGGGACCTTTTGTGCCTAAGTGCGCCTTGAGCCGTCAACAACTTTGGTGTGAACGTTACAACATTCATACAATATGTTGTAGCCTTCCGATACACATTTGAAGGTGATGTGGAAGTTACAATCTTCACACAATATAACCTAACATTTACACTATATAAAATTTTCTTCACTTATTTTCACCTTCTCATGAAAGTGAATTTCTCACATGATCCTGACTCTATGTTGATCCATGTATTTTTTTTTGTATTGGTTACAATAGGAAAATAGGTAATTTTAGCTTGAAAACTTACTAACAAAGGAAATATTGAAAACTAAATATAGGATTATAAGAGGGGAGGTCCATTTAGGAAACTTAAATATATTTTGAGAATCCAATGTTCACCTATGAGAAATAATAATGAATCTCTTTCATGATGAATCTCTGTTACAACATTTATCATGAATACTACACAAAATAGGTGGTTCTTGGGTTCTCAAGAATATTGTAACAAATATTCATGATTAATAATATGCATTATTATTAAAGGTTATTCATCATGAATACTACATAAAATAGGTGGTTTTTGGGTTCTCAAAATATATTTAAGGTTCTTAAGCGGAATCACAAACAAGATAAGCTGAGGTGATATAATAATACCATGATAGCATACAGTTCAGCATTCAAAGGTATCAAATTCTCCAAGAACACCACTCCTAACTTGAATTTTACGTGTTCAAAAACTTTGTTAAGCGTCAAGATATGGCGTTTTGTATCAAGGAATCGTTTCATTTTGTGAATTATGAAGTAGAAAAGGTAGCGGAAAGTAATTAGATTGTATATTCTTGTGAAGAACTCATGGCAGAAAGTATTTGAACAATATATATATATATATATATATATATATATATATATATATATATATATATATAAGCAGCATTTCTTGCTTTGGTGTCTGCAATAAGAGGATTGGTTTTGATGTAAATCGGGCCCTTTTTGGCGTTGAAAATGAATTCGATTGAGATTTGGTATACATTATGAAACGTATTGTTATAAAAAAGTCTACAATTCTTGAAATATAAAGCTCTTTTTGGATATATATCGTTATGCACGTCGTAGAGATGTGCAAACACCGAAGCCGAGGCTCGCGCTAGGCTAAACACCTTTTATTCATGAAGCCCGAAAAAGCCTGATCCATCCCATTTTCACACCCGAAATATGGGCCAGTCCAACTACTTGAGCTTGAAGCCCGAAAAGGTCCAATATATTTTTTGCTTACTGAAAAAGGTCAGACTTTGTGCATCTATATGCATATGGGATCGGTCTATGTTCCATTTTTACGTTTGCTTTTGCATTTTCTCGTTCAAGTTCTAAGCCTTGGTGGCTCGTGGTTTAAATCAGAATCTTGCCGAGGTCACACCTACCCGCTCGGCAAGGCTCAACTGCTTGAGCCTGTTTAGGGTCAAGGTATTAAATTTTTACTCCAAACTCAAAGATACCTTCCGTAAAAGCTTGTTTCCACTTGAGATGGCTTTTCCTACATCCAGGTCGAAGAAGTTCTGTAAAAAGGGTACGGATGTCATCCTTAGAAACGTCCTATTCTACTGGTTACACAATCATCATGAAAACACTGTATAGGTTATGAACTCATTTTATGAAAGTCTGAATAGATTTATAAAAATTAATATATAAAAGTAACAATTTGTAAAATATATTCTACCAACTTTAACCATTATATTAATAAATACATCAAAATTAGCATTATATTATTATTTCATTTCAACCACACTTTTTTATTTTTTTTAATTACCAGCTCATCAAATTAACAACTTTTATAAGACCTTGCAATGAAATAACAAGCTCCAGCTCGATTCACTTTTTCGTAGTCGAGCTCGAGATCAAATATTTTTTCAATGTTTAGTCTCGAGCTTGATACTCTTTTATGAGCTCGAATTCGAGATCGATTAACTCGTTTATTTACTCAAGCTCGATGATTTTTATATATTGATTCTATAAATTGTAAACATAAAAATATGTTTGGCTCGAAAAAGTGTATGCTAGAATGACTTGACTCATCTCGACTCATAAAATTTAGTCGAGCTTTCGAATGAGTCAAGTCGAATATAATTGTCATGGAACTCGAGTAACTCGTTAAGTTTAATCCCCTTGACTGCTATCTCTGTTTTTTCCCAACGAAGACAAAACACAAAATTTTGAAAATAAACCCAATTTTCAAAAGAAAAAGTAGACGTCCAAAAAGGACAATTAAAAAAAGACAGTTTTGGAGTATGCTTACATTTTCTACGGCAAATCAAATCAAAATATGTATATAATTCGTTGCCCTGCCCTCCCAACAACGTCGTTACCTCTCTTTTCTACATCTTCTATTTATAACCAACTTTCTTCCAAACATTGCACACCATCTCCACATTTACTAATACAAAACCCAAACCCTAAACTCTAAACCTTAAACCCCTAGAAGCTAAAGTATGTCACTTGATAGATCACTTATTCTAGTTGCGCTACTGGTTTTCGGGATATGGGCATGCAATGTAACATCTCGAACGTTAAACGAAGAGACCATGTTACAAAAGCATCAACAATGGATGGCTCGTTATGGGCGTCAATATAAAGACGAYATAGAGAGAGAAACACGATTCAAGATATTCAAGAACAATGTGGCGTACGTAGAATCATTTAACGATGTGGGGAACCGGGGTTACAAGTTGAGTGTCAATGAGTTTGCGGATCAAACGAATGAGGAGTTTAAAGCCATCCGTAACGGATTTAAGGTCCCGTTCGGACTTGTATCGTCTCGAACCACATCATTCATGTATGAAGATGTGAATGCAGTTCCATCTAGCATGGATTGGAGGAAGAAAGGAGCTGTTACCCCAATCAAGAACCAAGGTCAATGTGGTAAGTCCATTGTGAATTAAAACATTCTATTAAGACATTTAGACATATTTAGCATCATATAATAGCTAATTTTGTTGCGGTGAATTTATCCGTTTCATCTATCATTGTTGTTGAATCGACAGGAAGCTGCTGGGCTTTTTCGACAATTGCCGCTACCGAAGGAATCACTCAACTCACCACCGGGAAACTGATTTCGCTATCGGAACAAGAGCTGATGGATTGCGACAGGAGCGGTGAAGACCAAGGTTGCGAAGGCGGGTACATGGACGATGGGTTCAAATTTATCGTCAATAACAAAGGGATCAACACCGAGGCGGGATACCCTTACCAGGCAACAGATGCAACTTGCAACACCAAAAAGGAATCCGTTCATGCCGCCAAGATCACTGGATACGAAGACGTACCTGCCAACGACGAGTCAGCATTATTGAAGGCGGTGGCTATGCAGCCTGTTTCGGTTGCCATTGATGCSGGAGAGTCCGACTTCCAGTTTTACTCGAGTGGTGTGTTTAATGGAAGTTGCGGGACAGAGTTAGACCACGGGGTTACAGCAGTGGGGTATGGAACGAGTGAGGATGGGATCAAGTACTGGCTGGTTAAGAACTCGTGGGGAACGAGTTGGGGCGAAGAGGGATACATTAGGATGCAGAGAGACGTTGAAGCTAAAGAAGGTCTTTGCGGCATTGCTATGATGGCTTCTTATCCAACTGCTTAATATATATATATATATATATATATATATATAGATATATATATATATATATATATACATGTATGAATGTATGTATATACACCTAAAATTCGCATACCGATGATGAATCTACGTAAAATGAAGTCCTTAAATTCATCATCTGTCCATTTGTATCATGAAAATCTTGGAAGCTATGTATAGAGTTGGTGCAATTGTAAGCAAATCAATGGTTAAAATGTTTACCATATGGATGGGTTTGCGTATATATATCAACAAATGACTGAATGTTAAAACCGATAAGTCTGTTGGGGAATAGGATTCTGTATCAGAAAACCATGCGTATACGCTCTTGATAGAACTTGAGATTGCGTGAGAGCTCGCGTTACTTAAGTTTTCGACCATAATTTATCTACGTATCACGAAATTAACTCGAGGGTAATCTCAAATTCGTGTATCGACTTTGGCAGAAATCGTTACCTTTTGAACTTAGGGAATATAACCATTCACGGTTATGAAAAGAGCGGTAACAGATATGATTGAAGACACTCATCAATGGGAAACCATCTTCTGATGAACAATCAACTGATGGTATATTAGTGGGTAGTTTTACCGGCTGTTCTTCTTAGTGGGACCACCGCCAGGGTGCTGCCCCTATAACCGAGAGAGAGAGGGAGGGANATATATATATATATATATATATATATATATATATATATATATACATACATACATGTATGAATGTATGTATATACACCTAAAATTCGCATACCGATGATGAATGTATGTAAAATGAAGTCCTTAAATTCATCATCTGTCCATTTGTATCATGAAAATCTTGGAAGCTATGTATAGAGTTGGTGCAATTGTAAGTAAATCAATGGTTAAAACGTTCACCATATGGATGGGTTTGCGTATATATATCCTAACTATTGCTGGTGATAAACCATATATAATTTAAACCGATCAACGAATGACTGAATGTTAAAACCGATATGTTTGTTGGGGAATAGGATTCTGTACCGTGCATATGTATCTTGATAGAACTTGAGATTGCGTGAGAGCTCGCGTTACTTAAGTTGTATTTCGACCCTAATTTATCTACGTATCACGAAATCAACTCGAGGGTAATCTCAAATTCGTGTATTGATTTTAGTAGAAATCGTTACCTTTTGAACTTAGGGAATCGTAACCTTTTACATTTACGAAAAGAGCGGTTACAGATATGACGGAAGACGCCCATAAGATAATAACCCATCAATGATGAACCATCAATGGGAAACCATAGTCTAATGAACCATCAATAGGAAACCATCATCTGATGAACGATGGCATATTAGTGGGTAGTTTTACCGGCTGTTCTTGTTAGTGGGACCACCGCCAGGGGCGCTGCCCCTATAACCCGGGGGGAGGTGAACCCTTGTTCCCCACCATAAAGCGGTATCCAGTAAACCCGAGTTCTAATTAACTTACAACAAGTACACGAATATACACTCCACACCTCCTAGCTAGTAGCTTAATTAGTCACCTTTCTCGTGTGAGTCCAAATACACATAAAAAGACCAACAAAATTCCCAATAAGATCCATACAACATTGTTATATTAACATAAACTGCAAAGATCAAATTCTAGGGGCAAAAGTAAGATTTTTAGTTATTGCAAAAGCAAGTTTTTTTTTTTTTACTATGCGAGCCGACTAATCCCAAGGCGACCACCTGCTTGCAGATAATCCGAAGTCACCGCATTTGAACCTCTGTGGCTACAAGGGTATTTTTATTCCTCCATGGATTTGAACCTGAGACCTCCTAGTAATTTTTGACATTTGAAGGCAAACTCAAACCAATCAGACACCACCTTTGTGGTTGCAAAAGCAAGTTTTATAGTTACTGCAAAAAGAATGGATACATAAGTGATTGATGATTGCTACAAACTGCAAAATCCACACCTGGAATTACGGTTTTAAACGTGTGACAGAGGAGGTATCTATTCCCTAGTCTTAGGTCTCCTTAACCGATGTGGGATCTTACAGGAATTGATGAAAATCCAACTGGATCTCGATACGAGATGCACATGTGTGGTATTGAAAGTCAAGTCATGGTGAGAATTCGCATGCATGATGGGATTATCCTAACCTTTAGGAATGCAAAGCATGTTCCGAACTTACTCTTTTTTAGGGCCCGTTTGATTTCGACCGATTTTTTTCGGTTTTTTGTTAGAATTTGATGGTTTTTTCGTATTTTTGGTTGATGTCTCTTGAGTTTTCTAATATCTCGGATCAACATTCGAAGTTTAGCATGTCCATTTTTCATATAAAAAAAGACTCCTGCGTGTAAAAATTGTGTAAACGGATGCACAGGACCCTGATGGGAGCGTCCACCCCTCTTAAGACGGAGCCATGAAACAGTGGCGCGTGACATATACACCCTATTTAGATGGTTGTTTTAAATAAAAATAGAATATAAATGCATAGTTTTGTTATTTAAAATATAGATTTACAATTAAAATTCTTTTAACAACATGAAATATTTTTGAAAATAAAATTGAAATGAACCATCCATGTAATCAAAACAACAATTTTATGAAATAAAAACTTAAAAGAACTATAAAAGTAACAATTTGTAAAATATATTCACCAACTTCAACCATAATATTAATAAATACATCAAAATGACAATAAATTAGCATTATATTTTTGTTTCATTTCAACCCCATTTTTTTTTTCGCAATCATTATCTCATCAAATTAAGAACTCTTATAAGACCTTGCAATGAAGTGACTTATGGTAGCATTTGGTATGCAGATAAACTGGACAAGACTGTATTAGACATGACAAGTTATTTGTCTCGTATTTGTTACGACTAGGACTAGACATGCTTAGGTTGGACAAGTTGTCTCCAAATGTTGTTTAATGATTTTATATGGTGGTTACTGGTGTAGGTGGAAGTGGAGTCGGTGGTGGCTAGTGACTGACAGTGGTTGTGGAGACATGGAGATAGAGGTGATTAGTGGTAGCCGATATGTGGTGGAGCTGGCCACTGATCGTGGTGGTGACGACAACGGGAGTGATGGGCAGTAGTGATGGGGGAAGTTGTGATTGTGGAGGATGTGAATATGGTGATGGCCATTAGTGCTGGATATGGTGGTGGATCTAGGGGTGTAAACGAGCCGAGCTGAGTCGAGTCGAGTAAGAGGTTATTTGAGCTTGGCTCAAAAAAGAAATAACAAGATCGAGCTTGATTCACTTTTTCAAAGTCGGGTTCGAGCTCAAATAATTTTTCAATGTTTGATCTTGAGCTCGATATGCGTTTACGAGCTAGAATTTGAGACTCAAGCTCGGTGATTTTTATATTTTTAAATATGTTTGGCTAGGAAAAGTGTATGCTAGAATGGCTTGACTCATCTCGACTCGACTCAACTCATAAAGTTTAATTGAGCTTTCGAATGAGTCAAGTCGAAAATTGTTGTTATGGAGCTCGACTCATTAAGTTACATGATATTTATTTTGTGTTTGAGATCGACTCGTAAAAAGCTTGACTCATTTACACCCTAGGTGGATGTGGAGGTTGATGGTGGTGGAGGTGCTAATCATGGTGGAGGTGGTTTGGTGGTTCCTATCTCGATTTCATGTCATCCCAAACGTGGAACCAGTGGCGGATCCATGGTTTTTGTTCAGTGAGGTCACTTTTAAGGTAGACTAAAGACTTGTAAAATCGTCCGATGTGTTTTTAATCTAATTACAACGTTTTCGAGAGAATTTTAAATTTTTTTGATTGATTTCGAGGGATTTTTTTTTGTCAATTTCAAATAACTTTTTTGGTTTTTTTGATTGATTTCAACATATTTTTTTGATTAGAGTAATGGTTTCGATTGGGGTTGGGGGCCGTGGAAAAATGTAATAGGGGGAAGTGAGAGGTAAATCATGTAAAATCTAAATTTTAACTTATGAATTTTTTTTTGAGTTTTTGACTAGGTCCGTCCTTTCCCCCTCCTTTTCCTAATTGCATCCGCCTCTACGTGGAACAATGAGCTTATAACTGTATTTAAACCATACAAACTACTAGAAAATGAATTTATAAAATACTTTAATGCTATGCTTCTTTTTAAAATGCTGAAATTGCTAAAGTAAATAGCTGTTGGAGTTGAAAGTAATATTTTTTAAATTTTAAATACTTTATTTAAAAAATTATAACGTACTTATTTAAGATGCTATTTACTTCGATCCTAGAGTTTAACCACCAGGGAAGATTGGGTGTACTTGCTTTTAAAAGTTTACAGTTTTTTGGCTGAAAATCACCGGATTGTTTACAAATCCAACTGATCTATAAAAAAAAGACAGAAATGAGGAAAGACCCCTTGACTGCTATCTCTGTTTTTTCCCAACTGAGACAAAACACAAATTTTTGAAAATAAACCCATTTTTCAAAAGAAAAAATACAAGTCCAAAAAGGACATTTAAAAAAGACAGTTTTGGAGTATGGTTAACAATTTTCTACGGCAAATCAAATCGATATTTGTATATAATTCGTCACTATCTGTATATGTTGCCCTGCCCTCCCAACAACGTTGTTACCTCTCTTCTTCTATTTATAACCAACTTTCTTCCAAACATTGGACACCATCTCCACATTTACTAAACCCTAAACTCTAAACCTTAAACCCTGAAAGCTAAATTATGTCACTTGATAGATCACTTCTTCTAGTTGTACTACTGGTTTTCGGGATATGGGCATGTAATGTAACATCTCGAACGTTAAATGAAGAGACCATGTTACAAAAGCATCAACAATGGATGGCTCGTTATGGGCGTCAATATAAAGACGATATAGAGAGAGAAACACGATTCAAGATATTCAAGAACAATGTGGCGTACGTGGAATCATTTAATGATGCGGGGAACCGGGGTTACAAACTGAGTGTCAATGAGTTTGCGGATCAAACGAATGAGGACTTTAAAGCCATCCGTAACGGATTTAAGGTCCCATACGGACTTGTATCGGCTCGAACCACATCATTCATGTATGAAGATGTGAATGCAGTTCCATCTAGCATGGATTGGAGGAAGAAAGGAGCTGTTACCCCCATCAAGAATCAAGGTCAATGTGGTAAGTCCATTCTATTAAGACATTTAGACATATTTAGTATCATATAAAAGCTGATTTTGTTGCAGCGAATTTATCCGTTTCATCTATCATTGTTGTTGAATCGACAGGAAGCTGCTGGGCTTTTTCGACAATTGCCGCTACCGAAGGAATCACTCAACTCACCACCGGGAAACTGATTTCGCTATCRGAACAAGAGCTGATGGATTGCGACAGGAGCAGTGAAGACCAAGGTTGCGAAGGTGGGTACATGGACGATGGGTTCAAATTTATCATCAATAACAAAGGGATCGACACTGAGGCAGGATACCCTTACCAGGCAGCAGATGCAACCTGCAACACCAAAAAGGAATCGGTTCATGCCGCCAAGATCACTGGATATGAAGACGTACCTGCCAACGATGAGTCAGCATTGTTGAAGGCCGTGGCTATGCAGCCTGTTTCCGTTGCCATTGATGCTGGAGAGTCCGACTTCCAGTTTTATTCGAGTGGTGTGTTTAATGGAACTTGCGGGACTGAGTTAGACCATGGGGTTACAGCAGTCGGGTATGGAGCGAGTGAGGATGGCATCAAGTATTGGCTCGTTAAGAACTCGTGGGGAACGAGTTGGGGCGAAGAGGGATACATTAGGATGCAGAGGGACGTTGAAGCTAAAGAAGGTCTTTGCGGCATTGCTATGATGGCTTCTTATCCAACTGCTTAATATATATATATATATATATATATATATATATATATACACCTAAAACTTGCATACTGATGATGAATCAATGTAAAATGAAGTCCTTAAATTCATCATCTTTGTATAGAGTTGGTGCAATTGTAAGTAAATCAATGGTTAAAACGTTTACCATATGGATGGGTTTGCGTATATATATCGTAGCTTTTGCTGGTGGTAAACCATATATAATTAACATCGATCAACGAATGACTGAATGTTAAAACCGACAAGTCTGTTGGAGAATAGGATTCTGTATCAAAAAATCGTGCGTATATACTCTTGATAGAACTTGAGATTGCGTGAGAGCTCGCGTTACTTAAGTTGTATTTCGACCCTAATTTATCTACGTATCATGAAATCAACTTGAGGGTAATCTCAAATTCGTGTATTGATTTTAGTAGAAATCCTTATTAACATAAGTAGACCAACAAAATTCCCAATAAGATCCATACAACATTGTTACATTAACATAAACTGCAATAACCTAAAAAAGACCAAATTCTAGGGGTAAAAGCAAGTTTTATAGTTATTGCAAAAAGAATGGATACATAGTGATTGACGATTGCTACAAAATTCAAAATCCACATCTGGAATCACGGTTCTAAAAAAATCGATTGAACGGATGCACATGACCTCGATGGGGTGTCTGCCCCTATTAAGACAGAGCCATGAAACAATGGCGTGTGCCATGTACACTCTTCATAAAAAAATGGTTTCCACCTCATCCTCATCATCTATTAGAACAAATCAAACTTCAAATTTAGAAAATAGAATATAAATGCATAGTTTTGTTGTTTAAAATATAAATTTACAATTAAAATTCTTTCAATAACATGAAATATTTTAGAAAATAAAATTGAAATGAACCATCCATATCCATGTAATCAAAACAAGAATTTTATGAAGAAAAAAAAAACTTAAAAAGAACTATAAAAATAACAATTTGTAAAATATATWGACCAACTTCAACCATAATATTAACAGGGGAGGCTAATGACACCCCTACCTAGGTGCGGGCATGGGTCGGATCGGACCATAAACCGATGAAACCGATCGGGTATCGAATTATAATATCATGCCCCATAACATGCAGTTTGGGTTCGGTCGGGTTTTGGGCCAGTTCAGGTTCGGTCGGGTTTTGGGCGGGTTCGGGCCAAATAAATACCTTTGTTTCTCACATTATCATGGCTTTTTCTCTTTATTGTTTTCACCAAAGATAAGGAGTGTGCGTGAGTATTTGTCGTGTATCTACTTTAAAAAAGAAGACATTTGTGGGTTTAATGCTTAAAAATGTAGATTTGCTCATGAAAACTTGTGCCTGAGGCTTGATCAAGTGGTTTGAACTTAGTTAAGATAACTCCAATATTTTGAGTTAAAAACAACGTTTGTAGGTCTTTATAATGAATGGAGTACATCAATGGGCATATGATCAAAAGTTTTACCCCTCAGGAATGTTGGAAGTTCACTGCCCAATGCCTATGGTCCACAAATAAGAAAATATGCATATGAGTTGAAGTTAAACTGTTAAAGGTGGAATCAGTTCAAATTGTCATTATCTAGCAAATTGGTGCCCAAAAATTAGCTACAGATCCAGGAGCTCTGCAAATTGATGCATCAATCATTTCCAGGAGCTAGTACTTGATGTCCAAAAATTAGCTACAAATCCCTGACCCATCACCAATCTTTAGAGTTGTTGCATGGTAATAGTAATAGTCTTCTTAAGAAATTGAAAACAAAGATTGACATACACCATGACAATTCAAATGTATCTAGTACTAGTAGTAAAAGTTGAACAATTCGGGTTTTAGATCATGAGATCCTACCCGATCCCACTAACCCGATATAATTTTTGGATTTCGGACCTTGGGTTGGTTCGGTTCGGGTTTTTTCGGTCGGGTTTTTTGGGTAATTCAGTTTGGGTCGGATTTTACACTGGCCTAGCCCTGCCCCTTACCAATGGCACCCCTGTNGAACCCCTTGATCCCCACCATAAGGCGCTATCTAGGTTCTAATCAACTTATAACAGGAACACGAATGTGCACTCCACACCTTCTAGCCAGTAGCTTAATTAGTCACCTTTCTCGTGTGAATCCAATTACACATAAAAAGACCAACAAAATTCACAATAAGATCCATACAACATTGTTACATTAACATAAACTGCAATAACCTAAAAAGACCAAATTCTTGGGGCAAAAGCAAGTTTTACAGTTATTGCAAAAAGAATGGATACATAAGTGATTGATGATTTCTACAAAATGCAAAATCCACACCTTGAATAACGGTTTCAAACGATAAAGGAAGTGTCCATTTGCTAACCTTAGTTCTCTTTAGCCGACGTGGGATCTTACAAGAATTGATGAAAATCCAACTGAAAAACGGATTCTCGATTCTCGATTCACTTTTCACATGATGGGATTATCCTAATCTTGAGGGATGTAAAGCATGTTCTGAACTTGCTCTTTCTTAGGGCCTGTTTTATTTGGAGCCATTTTTTTTCGGTTTTTTGTTTGATTTTGAGGGATATTTTTTGGATTTTTGGTTGATGTCTCGTGTTTTCTAATATCTCGCATCAACATTCGAAGTTTAGCATGTCCACTTTTCATATCAAAAAAGAATTATACTTGTGAAAATCGGTTGAACTGGCTCGTTAAGAACTCGCGGGGACGGAGTTGGGGCGAAGAAGGATACATCAGGATGCAGAGAGACGTTGAAGCCAAGGAAGGTCTTTGCGGCATTGCTATGATGGCTTCTTATCCAACTGCTTGATATATATATATATATACACCCAGAGGAAAGTTTATTTAGGAACAGTAAATATTTTGAGAACCAAAAAACCAAACATTCATAAATATTCATCATGAATATCATGACTATTCATGATGAATATATTGAGTATTCCTTGTGAATATAAAAAATATTCATTGTGAATATCATGAATCTTTGGTTCACACGGTTCTCAGAGTGTTTATAGTTCTCAGAATGTCGGATCTATGTAAGAAGTCTATTTGAAAGTCATAACTTCGGAAGATATATTGCATGATTAAATGGTCACAGAACATATATCAACACGTTGAAATAGCTCGAAATTAAACCAAGATTACAAGAATTGAACAACGAACATGAAAAAGGTCGGTCGTGGCTGACCTAACATAGCAACTCACTCTTTCAAGCACGTTTTCCACTACTCGGGTTAGATTTGGTGCAGAGTATCCATCGGCCCTTTTCTCGCCTGCGCCTCAACACGGCTCGTCCACTAGTAGTCCTCATTCTTAAACGAAAACCATGAGTCCGAGCTAAAGATTTCCGAGACCTGTTCCTCTTTGTTTGAGCAAGTTGAAACTTTTTCCCGGCCTTCACCACCAAACCACGCCGTTTCTCTGGTTCGATCCCACTCCTAGAGTTAAAGTCCCATCCCAGTGACAAACCTATAATCAATCGGTAAGAATTAGAAACAATTCTAGCGGACTTTCAAGGTCAATGGATTAACTTCTAACTTCAAAAAATTTGTCAAGTCAATAAACCAAACCAAACAAACCGCCCCCAGTCAATCCCACTTGAAAGCAGGGCCTAGGGGCTGAGATATATGCAGATGAGAGCAACTGTTTCTATAAAGACCCTGCTCATGCAAGAGTGTGAGCAAACACGTAGCAAGAGCAAAGACTAGCACATGGTGAACATAGAACGGAAAACAAACTAAACCAAACGAACGCAGTAAATCCCACGTGGAATAGAGTCCGGGAAGGATTCATTTTTATATCAAAAGTAGTATCGAATCCTCAAAATTTTCAAGAATGCCGAGATGATTACATTAAACTTAACAAGAATAGAACTAAAAGTGAAACATTGGTATTAAAATTCAAATTTTCAAACCGATAAAACGATTAGGTCTCCTGCGAAACCCTTTTGGCCAAAGATTATATAAAAACCCCCATTGATTCACCATGGTTGATCTTGCATACACATAATAGAAAAACCATAATTCATATTCCTTTACACAAAATCAGAATCAACTCCAAACATTCAACCCACAAATATGAAGATTAGCATACTTATCAACCACATTAGTAATTCCAGAATCTTACGGCCCGTTTGGTTTGCGGGATTTGAACGGATTCGGAATTGAATTCCATTCCTATCCTGTGTTTGGTTTGAAGGAAAGTTTCGATTTGCAATCGCGGGATTTCAATGATATCCCACATTCAACATTCAAAAATCCCTTGGAGGGTGGGTGGAGGGACGGGGCGGTGGAGATGGGTGGCAGTTGTGACGACGACAGTAGTGAGATGGTGGCCAAGTGGGTTGGTATGAAGGCGATAGTAGTGGCATGGTGGTTAGTGGGGGCCGGTGGGTTGGGGTAGGGTGGGGTGGGGGTGAGTGGCAGTTGTGACAACGACAATAATGGTGTTGTGGTGGGGGTTAGGTTAGGGGCGTGACAGTAACGGTAATAGCATGGTCGTAGTAGGGATGTGTAGTGAGTGACCGGGGGTGGGTGAGTGTGATGACAACAGTAGTGGCATGGTGGCTAGTGGTGTGGGTAGGGTGGGTGGCGGCGACAATAGTGGTGCGGTGGTGGTGGGGGATTTAGGGGTGGGGCCTGATAAACAATAGTAGCATGGTCGTGGTAAGTGGTGATGGAATTCAATTCCTTCCATTATGCCAAGGAATGATGAATTTATTAATTTGTGGAATAAAATGGAATTTGAAGGATTCCATCCATTTCAAGAAATGAACCAAACAAAGGAATTGGAATTTTGTCAACCATTCCAATTCCATCAAATTCATTTGAATTCCGTGAATCAAACAACCCCTTACAATAAATTAAATTCCATCTCAAATCCTACAAATCAAACATAGCAAAGATTTCAAATCCTTGCACGAAATCCTGAGCAAACATTAGTTGATCAATTACTCAATACATATAAAAATGAAAGCATATAAGCTGATAATTCAATCACCGTAAACAAGATGAACCCTAATTCTCACAGCAATTAATCAAAACCCCAGGAAAGAAAACCAATATATCAATTAACCGAATTGCCAACATGAAATTGTTCAATGCATAACGAACTAACCCAATAAACTAAGATCCTAAAACAGGATAAATCCTAAATTTCAAAGAAATTAATCAGCCCATTAACCAAATAATCCACGTGAAAGAATGGGAGAACTAAAACTGCTTTTCCTTTTAATTGATATGATTAGGGTAATGGGAATTCACCTGCGAATGTTGAAGATGAAGATGATAGAGAAAGTGAAGAAGATACGAAGGAACAGTGAAGAAGCCCAGTTGAATTCGAAGAATTAGCGGCAGCAGAAGCTGGTTTTAGGGAAAGATTGCTTCTTGTTGGTCGTGAAGCATTGAGAAAAGGGAGTGAAGCAGTTGTACTCTGTGCTCCGAATCTTGTACACACAGATGATACACACGCCATGGGTTTTCCCTCTATCAAGATTTCTTGATTTCCCGTTATCCTCTTTCTTCGACAGAAACAGCCTTATCATCGACTCTTCAGAGAAGTGATGGGGTAATTTGGTAATTACACGAAAATAGAAATGGGCTGGGTAGACTTAGCTTTGGGCCATAGCCATACACTTTGGGCCGTAAGGCTTGGGTACAATATAATTTGGCTTGATTTGATTTAGGGGCTATTTAATCGTTGCTGCTTGGTTTTATGCAGAATGATTAAAAGAATCTAATGATATAGTGCAAAATGTAATATAATTGTTCGGTAATTGTTTACAATGGAATTAAAATGCTGAATGGTTAAGTCACTTAAGTGAGACCCATGATACAAAATCATTCAAAAGGTTTAAGAACCATTAAAAAACAAACTTTTTCTTTGCTAAACAAGGTTCACCTCTTAGCGATTCAGAAGTTGCCTCTTAATAGAACTACTATGAGGTAAACAAACAGTCCCTTAGTTAAAAGAAACAATGGGTATCAATGAATAAATTTGGTTTAGTAATTTTTTGAATTCGGGTTGTTTAGGTTACTAGGTTTGGTTGAACGGTTCAGATCGACAAAAGAACAGCTTTGTTGGATTGTTTTGATAGGTTGGGCTAGAGATGTGTATAGTTTCATCAGTTTAGATTGCAAAATGTTTGCGAAACTAATGAGCGTAATAATGTAAACAAAATTGGACAAATTATAGACTTGATTGGACCTACCAAATCGACCAAAACAATAGTTGATATTTATTCGCAATGTAGTATGTTATTATTAAATACGGTTCGATTTTGCCGAAATGATGGTATACCACTTCAATCCACAAACTGAACCGAGTAACTTGGTTGCAAACTGGTTGATCGACAAAGATCCAACCCAGCCAAACATGCCAAAGTGCTTTGTGTAGCGGTTTATTCAAATTGGCTTAACTATATGGCCCCTAGTTTGGGCCATTCATAAATGGAAATTGGTGTTTTCACATAGAAACACAAATTTATCTGGTTATTGTTAACATATAAAATAGACAAAAATACACTTCAAAGAAAAAAAGGGATTCAAACCCCTTTCCTTTTGGATTTCGTATGAACTCACTATTAGACTACATACAAACATCTTTTGATAAGTTTAATAGATACAGTTCATTATGTCCAAGATAGTCAGTTTCTCAGCACAAACCGATAGCTGAACCAAAGGATGTGATTCCAAAATATTCAAAATGCTCAAACCAGACAAATTGTTTGGACGGTTAGTTTATTCAATTTGGGTCGTGCACGTCCCCTAGATAAAGGGTTTGTAATCAGGTAGATATGGCATCCCGATTACTTATAATAGAGATGTTTGGGCTTGATGTAGGACCGGAACATGTGGTAACTGGTTTAGGTCCGGTCAAGTAAGCCAAATTATGGATATTCTAGATGAACAGGTTAACGGACTAGTTTAAGTTAGCTCGCCAGTTAAAGAAGCCAAATTAAAATTTTAGAGTCTTTTTTCTTTGGCTTATTAAGCATCCTAGAGTATAAATAAGTCATATTTTTGGGGGGGGGGGGGGATACCAAGTTATAAAATGTCTCTTAAAATTAACCACAAGGGTAGTGTCTGATTGGTTTGAGCTTGACTCCAAAGGTCAAAAGTACCAGGAGGTCCCAAGTTCAAATCCAAGGAGGAATAAAAATCCCCTTGTGGCCACGGAGGTTTAAATGCGGTGACTCGGGCTATCTGCAAAGTAGGTAGTCGCCCTGGGATTAGTCGGCTCGCATAGCGGTTTGGATATCCAGGTTAATCAAAAAAAATATCTCTTAAAATTCACTATAATCCGTTCAGCTCATGGTTTGGTTTCGGTTCATATTTTCACTTGCTTTTGCTCTCTTGATATCGTATTTGTGTTTTCACGTACTTTCCTACAGACGATATCCTCCAACAATCATGATGCTTCATCTCCCCCTGATCCCATTGTTTAAATCGCGGCTGAGCTGGGTGCTTCAAAACCCGATCAACCTGACCAACCGGCCAACCCCAACAAGAAATAACCCACTCGAAGTAACCCGATGTCTAATCGAGTTGTAAAATCTTCAAACCGCAAACATTAATTGTTCGAATCCCTTCAACCCGACCAACGTAACTTATAAACACCCCTATGAAAAATCTAGTGTTTTTTTATGGATTCAACTTGGTAATACTTTAAAGTGCGAAACGAGAGACGCAATGCAAAAGGTGTCAATGTTTCCATACGGTTCAAGAAAATTCAATGTAGAGTCATCATATCGAGAAATCATGTGTTGTGCTAAAATCAGCTATAAATGCTAACTCAATTGATTAAAAACGAGACTCACGAAGATTAGAAGATTGAAGACAAATATGAACAAACGAATCCTTCCCATTGTATTCCAACGACCACTAAATACCAATGCCTCAATTTCAAACTACCATTGTAAAAGAAGACTTCAACGATGTCAAATAATAAAATTTAATAGAAATGAATTTGGAGGTGTATTTCAGTGGTTGGGAAAACATAAATGCAGTAAAAATTTGTAAAAAAATAATTGTTATAAAAATGTTTAAAAAACAACTCTAAAAAGGGGGGCCGAGTTAAGGAATTAATTAATGGGGACATGTTACAATATAATCGGTTACATCGATTATTATCGGTTAATATATTTAGGTCAGGGACCAGGATCAGAAGGAGCGATTTTCAGTAGTGGCAAAGCCACATGGAAACTCAAAAAGGGCACATGCTCCTCTTGAAATTAATGAAAAATGATATAGTGGTGGGCCAAAGAGATGGCCAAGAATTGGTCTTGAAGAGATTCTAAATCGGTCTCGGTCTGAAGATTTTTCTTTTGTAACAAGTCCTATGGTAACCAGTTCTAATAAAAAAGACTCAGCCTGTTTTCCTTGTACTCAGCAGATTTCCTTGAGCGGGAAAACTTTTGCCAGAAAACACTATTTCCGGCGGAATTTTCTTTGGCAGATTGAATGTTTCCAGTGGATTCCGGCCGCTAGAAATCCAACACTGATTTTTTTCAACTTCTTCAATTCCTTGAATTAACGAATTGTAAATTGTGCCTTGGTGGGCGGTCCTCTGTTATTGAACTGTATTAGGCCTTGATGGATCGTATTAGACTCAGCAGTGGTTAGTATATTGTATTGGTCTTTCATGAGTTTCAGTGCTCTTAATGAAATATATTGGGCCTTGATGTGTTACATTGAATCTTAATGAAATGTATTGGGCCTTGATTCATATACCTAATACAACCCAATAGAACTCATTAAACCCCTATAGATCTATTAAAACCCAATAAAACCCGTTATAGCCCAAGAAAACCGATTAAAACCCAACAAAACCGACTAAAGCCCAATGGACCCATCAAAGTCCAATGAATCCTTAAAGCCCAATAATATCGATTAAAGACTAATAAAACCTATTAAATTCCAATAAGATCCATTAAGGCTATGGTGACTTATTACGTGTTTGTATGTATGTATGTATGTACTGCATATATGCATGTGGTGTGTATTGCACTCAATAAGGTCACTTAGACCCATTATAGCCTATTAAGAACCACTAAAGCTTGTTAGGAACCATTAAAGTTCAATAACACCAATGGTGACTTATTACGTGTTTGTATGCATGCATGTACTGTATATATGCATGTGGTGTATTGGATTCGATAAGACCAGTAAGATCCACTTTATCCCGATAAGAACCACTAAAGACATTAAGACCCATTAAATTCAAATAAGACATTTTTATTGGTTATTAAGCCCATTAACACCTATTGAAACATACGTATTTGTATATATATACAAACATATATGTATGTACCTGTATACGTACGTGGCATCTATTTAAGTATATTACAGATATATAAATATGAAATACGTAAATAAAATGAGAATAAATATTTACGGATAGAAAAAAGCAAAAGGAAAAACAAAAATGCAGTTTTAAGTTAAAATCCATCACAAATCCGTCACAAAAAAGCGGAAAAAAAATTAAATTAAAAATCAAATTTCCAACGAATTAGTGGTGGATTGGAAATGTTAGAAAATTAATTAATATTCATTAATTTTTAAAAATAGAAAAAAAATAATTTTTAATTAGTGGCGGATCGGAGGATCCGTCCCGTCACTAATCTACCAAATTTAAAAAATTAAAATTAAAAAATCGGTTTTTTTATATACCAGCGGATTTTCGTCCAATCCGCCACTGATTGTCCTAGCGTGTCAAGATGGGGATAGAAGGGTACAAATTTCCTAAAGTGTCGAATCCCTAGAATAATAGACCTTCCCTCTGATACCATTTGTGAATATGTGGAACCCCTAGATTACTCTCCAATATATATCTTGAAGAGAGAAGGAATGTTCAAACATATATAGAGGAAAAATGCCTCAAATCTAGCCGATGTAAGACTCCAACAGATGACAAGTTTATGAAAGAAAATATTTTTGACAAATAAATAGTATTTGATTTATTTGTGCTCGATGCTCTGACTCCCCCTAATTTTAAATCCTGGCTCCACCCCTGAAAGTCATCACTCATGATTTCATATCGAATTGGTTAAGGCCCAGTTTTTGGCCATGTCTAACATGTAATAACAAGGTTGTATATGATTAATGAAAGGTTACAAGAGCTGCTATACAGAACCAAAACGATTCACAGTTAAAAGTAACATCATCAATAACTTTGGGGCCGTTTACCCAAATGCTTACCCGGTAAGCGCTTACTAGTATGAGTCGACACTATAATTTATTTAGATGCGTAAGATTTTAGTACATCAAAGAATATCGAATGCAACAATTTACTAGATAGGCACTTCCTCACTTACCGGGTAAGACTCTCCATCCTTCTCATTGCTCTTACCCGGTATGATTCTTGGCCCTTCTCATGTTCATCCGATGAGAAAATTTATGCGTTAAACACTTACCAAGTAAGCGTTTAGTAAACGACCCCTTTGTCTAAAACACAAAGAATAGGTTTCAAAACTAAAAACATTTAGAAATATTCAGTTTTTTGACGTTATATTTTAAAGCACGGCGAACCCTTTGATGTTCAGCGTT